TAAACAAATGAAGCAAAACAAAAGCAGATGGCGAAAGCAGAGATTAAGATAGAAAAAAAATGGTAGAAAAAAATTGCACGTGGTGAAAGAAAAGCAAGTGCAACGAGGTAAAACTAGTTACTCATATTTACTTGTACATATGTATGAGTGCATTTATGGATACATATCTATGCGGCATGAGCGCCCATTGAAATGCAGCTGTGATGCCGTAAACATAAGCATACATAAATACTCGTACCAACCCTGCAGAAAAAAATTATCAATTGATCAAAATAACCAACTTGAAGTTAGCTTTTTGGCGGAATTTCGATAAATAACTAAATTTTAGCTATGACAAAACTAACTTTAAGTTAGTTGTTAAGTCGCGCAGGAGTTATGCAGACGTTACTGGGAGTTTGTTTTCTCTGAACAAGCTTCTATTTAAATATTCTCATACAAAAATTACTTTGAATACACTTTCTTGCTGCACTTCGCAGATGCTTTTTCGCATTCAGGACAAATAAAATAATAGTCGAAATTTTATATATATTATCATTTTGATATTATGTCTGATGGAATTCAAATATGCGCACAAAAAACCTATAAAAAATAAGCAAAATAAAGTACATAAAAAATTTAAAAAATCTTTTTTATTTAGATTTTGTGTAGTTACTTAAGTAGTTAACTACAAGTTAGTTGATATCGAATGCAGTGGAAAATAATTCTCACTATTTTGCGGCCATCGCCCTTCAAAAGTAGTTAGTTACGGCCAAAGGAAATAGTTAGTAGTTACCACTAGTCGATTGCTGGTTAATTAACAATTAGCTGCAAACTAGTTCCATTTCCTGCAGGGAACACACTCAAACTGAAGCTTTTAACGCTTTTTTGGTTACTCAGAATGCACTTTGCTACATACACACGCAAAAATAAAAAGTAGCTCCCTAGAATTTATGCGCGTTTGAAAGATGATTTGCATTTAGTACCAAAATGCACGTACACGCAAGTGCTGTAATTGCAATCATAAAAACAACAATAAAACTAGAATACGAGCGCAGTGAGTTGGCAGTTAGTGTAGCGCAGCACTAAAGCGTGCAATGAATGCAACAACGAGCAAGTGAAGCGCGCACAAAATGCGAGCGTCTGATTTTTTGCTTTAATTGCATTGCCAGAAAAAGCACTCATACGCCCTGTCGCCCACCCACCCAGAGACACGCACTACCTACGCCCACACACACGCCAAGCAAAGCAAATAAACCATGTCAACTAGGGGGGTGGGGGACAAAGAAAAAAGAAGAAAATAAAGCGATGCATAGCTTTTATGGCATTTATTATTACGTTTTTTTCATATTCGCATAAATAAGTTTTTTTTATGTACTTTTTTACTTATCTACACACATGTCTAAGTATGTAGGTCTAGATATATGATAGCTATGTATTCAATATGTACCTATGTATGTATGTATATTCAGTGCCATTCCGCCCTCAACAAGAGTCAAGCACCTTTCTGTTTGCTGGCCTGCAAACAAACCACTGCTAAATGTTCTTAATTATAGCCACTAAAGGCCAATAACACGTTGTCAATGGCTCGCCTGCACTGCTTCGTACCAACCTTCTTCCACACCCACTTTGTAATTCAACTATCCTCTTTCCAGTTACTGCCACTCCTTTGGTAGGAGTTTGTTTTTTTTTTTGCTTCCTTTCTCCCTTTGCTTAATTTCTTCGTTTGCATGTCTCCAAGTTTGCCATAGCCTCTGAAAACTTTTTCTCAAACTCAAAGAAATAAAATCAATACTGAAAAGCCACCCACAATTTACGAGTATAGTGGCTGGTCGCAGCTCGCGCGCCTTGCTCAGCTCAGCTCAGCAGTCATTTAAGACGTTCGAATGTCAGCTGCTACGCTGCGTTTGGCGTCTTGTTGACGGTCTCGAATGACATACAAAAAAAAACAGAGCGAAATGTGAAAAGTAATAAAAAAAAGGCAACACCAAAAGAATGCAGCAGTATTTTATGCTGACAGTGCGACTTTAGCGATTAACGAAGACAATCGTCTCCAAGCTGTATCCGCTATCCTTTAAGCTTATTATGCACCTTGTGAGCTGTGGTTATGTCGATGCCCTGTAGGGAATTGAGCTTGGGAGATGTTAGTGGCTAAGCGAGCGGACAGATTTTTTGCAGAGTTCAAGCAACTCGCAAGGCTATGCACTTCTTATTAAATGAAGTAGTTAGGCTAATGGGGCTAAGATAAAAAGGTTTGAAATATTATAGAATGTCTTTGCTTTGCAAATAGCCTAGTCGGCAGTTAGATAAACCCTGCGGCATTCTTCAAAACCGAGAGATAAATTCAGCAATACTTATGCCAGTAAAAGCACAATAAGACGCGACACATCATAAATAGTACGAATTAGATTTGAGTCGTTTTAGGAAATTTGTGATATCTCAAGCTGCTAGACCGAAAGCGCCATTATATCAAGAACCATAACATCCACTCTAGAATAGAAGAGTCAGTTTCTTGGCAAAGAAAGGTGGTCCAAATTTGGCAGCAATCTACTTTCTTTTATGTTCCATCGTTGTAGGCGAACTAAGCTGTGCTCATACGTTTGCCTGCTTTTATGAACTGCCAATTTGTTCCTCAATATGAATTTCAAAGTCATGAAGTCTTATTGTCAATATTGGGTTAGTTGAAGAGCTGAAGGTGGCACCAGGTATTTAAAAATTACGTAGGTTAATACGGGTTTAAAGAGTTAAATTCCTTATGGGTAATCTGTGCTTTGAACTAGAGATGTTGCGAATGTGGAATTTTAGACTTCCCGGATGCGAATGCGGATGCGAATATCTAACAGCTAACAACCGTGGATGCGGATGCGAATGCGGATGTCAAGTATTTTTAAGAAACAGATGTGCCAGGTTTTTTAATGCTCTTTAAAAAGAATTCTGAATTCTAATTCCTTTTTCGATTTTAGTTTTTGTAATTCATTTTTAATACTTTCTTCTGCGACTGGTTGGAAAAATTTGTGCTTATAGCGAGCTAAATAGATGGATATGGAAAATAAATTATTATTTTCCAGGAATGAAAAATTTTAACAAAATTATGTTTTCAAGTCGTGGCTATCAGCCGAATGGGATCAGAATATTGTTATTTTTTTTAAAGCACCCTGTTTTTTTTATAAGCATTTGAATCTCAGATAGTTACGTAATTCTTATCTTGTTAAATGTCAGACCTATAGTTTTTTAATTATTTGAGCATCGATTCTCTTTATAGCCAGACGTTGATCATTTCTCCTGGAAATCCCTATTGAAGGAGCTTACTCTTTGACTTTAAATAGCAAAGAAGGGACAGTTTTACCATAAAAGAAATATGACATTTGACCAGTTTTGTTACACAAATACTGCCACGACCACAGGCAAAAATATTGGCTACAATTTGTCATTTTGTTTGCCTTATATGTATACGTTTTATCGGTGCACTTACACAACATTCGCATTCGCAAAAGCTCCGCATTGATTATTACGAATGCGAAAGCGAGTGCGAATTGATAAAGTTAATGCGGAAGCTCCGCGATTGCGAATGCGAATGCGAATATTCGCAACAACCCTACTTTGAACATATGCAAGTTCTTGTGCAGAAGGATTAAGTTGCTTATGCCAGAAGACTTTTTAGGTTCCCTTGCCAGATGAAAGCTATCCACACAGCCCAAGCAGCTTAAGAAAATGTTATTGTGGGTCTCCTCACTTTTCTGTATATTTTTAAGAGGTTTGTTACCTACACAAGTGTGCCCCTATAGGAATGTGGTCTGTAAAGCGGCCCCAATGCCATTAGTATTTTCCTCTTCCTAGAAGTGAGAAGTACTGAAATGCTAGCTTAATAGTCGATGGCTATTCATATTGAAATTGAGGTTGACGCTAAGATTGACACTGGGATAAGATTAAGATTGGGATTAAAATTAATATTAAGACTAAGCTTAAGACTAAGATTAAGATTTGGATTAAGACTAAGATTAAGATCAAGGTTAGGATTAAGATTATGATTAAAATTAAAAATAAAATTAAAATTAAGAATAAGATTAGATTAAAATTAAGATTTAGATTAAAATTAGGATTACGATTTAGACTAAGATAAAGATTAAGTTTAAAATTAAGTTTTAGATTAAGATTTCGATGAAGGTTCAGATTGAGGTCGAGGCTAAGATTGAGATTGAGATTAATATTAAGATAAAGATTAAGATTAAGACCAAGATTAACATTAGGATTTAGATTAACTTTAAGACTGGAACTGTGATTAAGATTAAGGCAAGAATCCAGACAACTTGTTAAGATTGTTATTGAGATTGAGATTGATTTTGAGAATAAGAGTAAGATAATTTTTAATTATTGGGCACAAAATAAACTCATATAATATAGTGAGTTATACCGGTAATAGGAAGTACATAATTTCACTTCAGTCACGCGTGCTATCCACATACAACTTTTTCCTTAAAACGCGCCAGGAATATCTTATTTCAACCCACTTATTAATAACATTTTATTGTATTCCCTTAGGAATTGCTTGTAGAGCAACTAGTCTTCCTTATAGCCAGAAGCAGTGATCGTCCGTGGAGTACCCTTCGATTTTCTGTAACGAAGGCATATAGACACATTGCCCATCGCTAACTAGTAGAACCAAGAAGGCCTCGAGTGAGAGCAAGAGTGCCCATTTAGAAGTACTTGAAGCCGGAAAGGCAAGGAGGCCCCAACGAAATTTTTACTGATAATGTATATAAAAGCCACTGTGTTGACATGTCGAGCTGCTTGGCTTTGTTAGAAAATATTCCAGTTCACAAAGATTAAGCGCTTTAGTCAGTATGTAGCGCTGCAGTAACACGAAGGTATACTTTCTATGTACATACATACATTAGCAAATTGAATTAAATTAGGTACACTAACAACATTTGAAGCCTAAGCCACAAAATTTTTTCTACAACCAAATGGAATTAGTGGTATACAGCACCAATGCCAAACATATATAAATTTACACACATACTAACCTGATAAATCGGATATATCCAAACAACTGGAACGACTTTTTGTGCGTTGCAAGAGTGAATGTTGTAATGGCTGATGTTGCGGTTGATGTAGCGGCGATTGATTGACAGCACTGCCATTTGCAGTGACACCACTAAAAATGCTACTACAGAGTCCATCAGCGCCGCCACCGCCACCGTTAGCGCCGCCTAAACCTAGACCAGCCGCTAGACCACCGGACGCATTGCTGCTACCACTGGCTGAGCCCGAACCACTGCCGCACCAATCGGCCTCCATTGCCTTTGAGGCGCTGCGCTTGAAATGTTCCAGGAAATTATCAATTTGCTTTTCAATTGAGTTCGACGGCGAGTTTTCCATAATTGCTGTTGCTGTTGCACATAATCGATGTCGGCGAATTAAAGCTTAGGATTGAGGTAAAAGCGTTTATTTGCTCTTTTTTGATGTAAACATTGTAGACTAAAAATTTCTTAAAATGCGGACATTTAACTAATGGATGAGGGGCACTCCAATTGAAGTGCTGTGCTGTGTAACTATGTCACCAATGCTGCTTTTACTACAGTTGAAGGTCAATTAACTTCCACTGCGTGAACTTTTCGCGAGTGTGCGAACGGCGCATAATGGACGCCTTGTTGTTGGCGTGCAGTTGTCGTGCTTAGAGAGGGGCCAAGGGGTGGTGGCGGTGGTGGTGGTGGGTGTGTGCCACGTTTAGCTTTGACTGCGCTGACTGTGGGGTAGAGGCGCGCTGTTGTTGCTGTTGCTGCAACTTGGCCACTCGCTACGAGACCTTGAGTTGAGTATTTGCACTGGGTGTATACTATTTTTGCGTTATGGTGCTTTGAACAAATAGCATTTTCACTTATTTATATTTGATTTTGTGACCATTTTATCAAAGTAGATTTAGTGACAAGTTTATTTTATATAAAAATTTTAGTTTCACATGCCTTTACTTCATCACGCAGGTAAATCATTTCGCAGAATAAAATTTTTCACACACTCATTTTCGCACTCTTATTTACCATGCAAAATCAATTATTTACTGGGCGCTAAGCTCCTTTATATGCCATTTAAATCATTAATTTAAACACTTTTCATAAAATTTTCAACACATTTTTCTTAATTGCGCCCCTTTTATTCGTGTGAACTTAACCCTCGCCAAAGACACTCACACACTCACACATACATACGCTTATATTAAACGCCACCTTAACACACACAAACACGTTTGCTTCAGCTTAGGCCTTGATAGTAAGTAATACATATACATATCCTTTGGCCACTTTTAGGCGCGAGCACTCGTTTTACTGTTTTCACTGCGCAAATTCCTATTTTGATTTTCTCGTTTCTTAAGGCTCAACCGTTTGTGAGCAAAGCTAGCGACGAACTAAAGTTACTGAGCGCTGAACAAACGAATATTCGCCGTTGAGTACGGACGTATTGCAACGACCCGCTGCACACGCAACTGGCGATGAAGGCAGCTACTTTTTCGCACCTACTGCTGCTGTCGCCCCAGTTCTTCCCATTGCTGTTGTTGCTTTATTGTTGTGCTGGAAAATTATGCTGCGCTGCTTTGGTGCTGTGCTTATGCGGAACCGGCAACGAAGCTCCAAAGCTACACGTGACTGTGGCGCTGGTGGCTGTTGTTGACGGCGACGCACAGTGTAACGTCCCCATATTGTGGGTGGTCAAAAGTAGAAGGGGTGGTCGCAGATCAATTAAAAATTTCGCACAGAGGTATATAGCAAGAAAATTTAAATTTGAGCAAAATTTGATGAAGAACAGGCCTACCTTCTATAAAACTGGAAACTAAATATATGGGTTTTATATAAATAATTTAGTCCGATTTATATTTGTGAAAGATTCTTTAACATATATGAAAATGTTTAAAGTTGGTCTACTGCCACACCCACCTGCCAAAGTTGAGATTTTGTATTACAGGTTGTATTACAAATATGGCTGCGAATCAAAGAGTTGTCGCTAGTTGCAGCTGAAATAAATTAATTTATTTTAATCGTGATTACTTACTTCCCTCTAACAGGTCTCAAGCATTTTTTTCATTACTTTTACAACTCGTAAATGTACTTTTATTGTTTGGAACTTTATGCTTATATTTGAAATAACAACGGGGAAAAACTATGAACTTCAGGCGTACAAAATATGTATACAGTAGTTTAAGAATAATAATTAAAAATGACAGCTCCCCGCCAACCCACTAGAAACAGTACTCAGATGTTTATATTTTCAAGCTTATATGACTTTTTAAATTGTAATTATTTTTTTTATAAAAATACAGTTAATTCAGTAACAAATTTTATACAAATACCGTATGCCAAAAACGAAAAAAGTGCAAATCAAAATTTTGGTAAAAATATTTACATTCTGTTTATACTCGAGTATTTAAGGTCGATTGGCATAAAATTTTTTCCAAATTCGTTCGTTTTTATTATTTTTGGTCGCACTCGTTACACTGTGCAATGTAGACGCCAAATGCAATGTCGACTAGAGAGAATCGCATTTTTTCGCCGATTTGCGGTTTGCTTCTCTGTGTTGATTTAGTTTTCTTTCGGTTCATTTGTACTTTTCTTTTCTCAAGTGGTTTTGTGCGTGTTGTTATTGTTGCTCCCATTGATGTGGGTGGCTGTTGTATGATCATGCGCATTGGCTTTGGTGGTCCGCAGCGAAAATAATCAGCTGTGCGGCGAAGTGAATTTAAATTTGTAATAGATTTTCTTTTCTAGGTTGAGAAATTATTCATTGCAACCAATTAGGAATATTAATGAAGAATATTTTTTAAAAATACTTGCAACTCTGAATTAAATACGGAAGTTTCATGATCATATATAGAGCTAACCTCTTGAAAAAAGCACTGTGTTGGAAAAAGGGGTTAGAGGACCCGTGCTTATATTCAGCCTGGCTAGGGACCCAGATTAATAATTAGCCCAGTCTCAAACGGAATTCTCCGGATACCTGGCGACCTCCGACTCTATCTAGCCTTACCAGTGCACACGGACCTTTTTGCAGACAAGCCTCTATTGTCCGACAATCATGGGACCAAAATAACCTACATAAAAACCTACAGCGGTGGCTCCGACTAGTGTTAAAGCCGCGGACAGGGCATTGGTCAGACCGACATTGACAGGATATAGATGGGGCTTAAGCAACAGGGCTGGTCCTGGTACGAGTAATGCGGCGGGCAGGGTGGAAGCGGAGGCCTGGGCAGACCGGTCTCCAACTATTTCATGGTTTGAGCTGCGGCGTCAGCTCCACCTAAGGGAACCAGACCACAAAATATCCCCTGGCACCTGCTTTAATGTTAAACCTGCCAGCTGCTACTGACATACCCAGCAGTTCAAGACAGGTTGCTACCACATGTCCGCCCCTCGGCTAAGCATATCCGCAGCTCCAAGCAGGCTTACTACAATAGGAATGTGGCTACTAGGGTCCTGGATAGGTGTGGGGACCTGCCAGTAGAGTAGCTGACGGAGGAATGGGATAGATTTTTAGAACGGGTGAGGGGAATAGTATCCATCCAGCCTGGGCAAACCGCTAGGCACTGCTCTCGACATGTGCTGAAGAAGATGAAATTACGAAATACGATTGGCAAATAATCCCGGGATTTTCGGGATTTGTAATTTGCACTGGTCGCAATAATAGAAACTACTTTTCATGACCAGTATTGGCTATATATGTCTTATTATTTAATAATTAATATTTTTTATAAATGTCTAGCTCCTGCGATAGTAAATTTTACACATAAAAATCAATATATTCGCGAAACCATGGGCCGAATATTGCAAACGATTGTTTTTAGTTTTTCACTTTGACGTCAGTAACTCAAAAATGATTTAAACATTTCAGTGAAATGTGCTTAGAGAAGAAGTATGGGTATAAAATTAAAGAGGAGATTCTGTAGAATTCAATCAGATTAAATGTTTTGATGCTTATTGAAATTGTCCTTTTAAAATTTTATCCTTGAAATTTCAAATTATTTGTTTCGAATTTCGTCCTTCTAACGTTATCAGCTTAAAAAATACCTAGTCGTCCTCGTGAATCTAAACATTTTTTTATTTTTTTTAATTCTAAAGAAATTTCCATTCATTTGTAATATGGGTAACATTCTACTTTGCATTGATTTTTTAAATAATTTTTGGAATGAATCACACCATTGAAATTACAAAGTCCTTTAAAATATATCCTGATGTCAGAGAGAAAAAATAAAAACGCCACTTTCAATAAAAAAGTGGGTTTCAAACCCATTTATTTATTATTTATTTTATGGTAGGAGAGGTTGAAGCAATTTTTTCGATTTAAGTTGTTGAAAATGAATGAATATCTAAATCATCCCGGCTCGAACCTACCACCCCCCCCCCACTAACTTCCAAGGGTACTATAAATAGTACCCTGAAATGCTAGCTTAATAATACGACCCCCTAAATTTCATTCTGGCTACGTCCATGGTTGGAGTGCCAAATAAGATAAAGGATGGGTTTCGAGGTAGGGCATACCTGCCCATTAGTCAACATTTTTAAGTTCTAGTAGTAGTATCTACACATTTATGACTTTAGGTCTAATATGTCCAATATTACTAAAATGAAAAGCATCAAAATTTATAAACTGTTGACACCATGTTTAGTATCCCAACCCCAGCGAAAAATCAACTTTTCTATGATATCTAAATTTTGAAACGTTTTTTGTAGTGAAGGAGTTTGATGATGGGTGTTCGATGACGAATGAATGTTTGCGTGATACGGTTGATTTTTGAGATTTTTTTGGTGACGGATTTTTGTACTTTTTTCCCTATAAGCATGAATTTCGAATGAAATAGAATGCGAGAGACCGTTAGCTAAAAAATTTCACAAAATTAACGCCAGTTTTTGTAAAGTGGACTTGTTATATATAAAAACAAACCGCAAAATCAGTCTCCAAAAAAAGAAAAACAATTCTAAAAAAATCAACGCTTTTTTTTAGCTGGTTAAAACTTGCACTTAATTTGACTCAAATTGAATGCGCTATCAAACTGAATACTCAAAAATTTTCTATAAATTCTGAATAAAAGATTGGAAACTTGTATGAAAATTTTTTGTCATTTTTGTTAACTTTATATAAAATGTGAAACTTTAATTTATATGGTTTAGAATGGTATATATTTGCATCAAAAACTAATGCAAACAATTTTTCATGGAAATAGTAATTTTGAATATTATATTATAATAAGATGTACACTTTCATTTGTCGCCCAGTGTATATACATTTCTTGTTGTAAAAATAAATAATTTTTTTTCGACATCCTGCTTCTTAAATCTCTTTTAATGTATGTCTTCTCTTTGTAGTCTCTTAAATTAGCGTCGCTCTCGTGTGCGCCACTAAAGTCAAATACTCTTTACTTTTAACGCTGATTAAGAAATGTTTTAGTTGAGTGCTAAAATGAGTACTTGTCTGCCGCTTGAACATCATTATCAACATCAACATCATCATCAACAACTAATTTCGCTCACTACATTCTCCCCAAACTCCAATACACTCGTGATGAGGACCCCGGCGCACTGATCCAATCACAACCAGCGCCAACAACGCACCGTATGTGGGCGAACACAGTGAGTGGTAAATACAAAAATACAAAATACAAAATAAGCCCCCCCACCGCAGTAGTGTTCGTAGCAGCAATAAAAGTAGCAAATGCAAAATCAACAGAAATATCCAAATAAGCAGCAACAAAATTGATGTGCTTTAAGAATTCGAGTCGATTTCGATAGAAAGCGACGCACCAATACATACATAAAAGTATGTATAACTAACTATATGTGAAACAAAATAAAAGTGAACATTAAAAGACGACGAAAAAAATAAAAGACCAAATAAAAATACGCTCTAAAAGGGGAGGTCGACTCATAGCTGACGGGCTATACGCGCTTTGCTGCAGTCGAACGGCACACCACTGAATCAGTTTCTCGCCGCTCGTGTACGGAACAGCAACGTTGTCTCTCTAAGCAAAAAGGAAAGCGCCACAAGTTGAAACGCCTGAAAAGAGACTGAGTAGAACGGGTCTCATAAAGACAGGCAGACAGATCAGTCAGTCAGTCAGTTGGGCAAAAGCAGGCCACCCTAAAACACAGTGAATTATCAAGAATCGACAAAAAAAAAAAAATTTGTGCTGAATAAAAGTGAAAATTTGTGCATTATTGAGAAGAAATATTTAAATAAAAAAAATATTTTTTTCTATTTTTAAAACAACAACTACAGTTAATACAAAATGAGCAGTAAGTTCGAGCAAAAGACGTTAAGCAAAAAAATAAAAATTAAAAAATAAACGCCCGCACGTTTCAAGCTTCAAATTAATAATTTACAATCAGCTGCAATAAATACAATAATTACAAGAATAAGCGGCAAGCAAGAAAATGAAAATGAAGAAAGTTAAAAAGCGAATATGTAATCGCAAAACTGATATGAAAAATATGCAAAAAAAAAAACAAGAAATAAATAACAGTTAAATAAACAAATACGTTTGCTGAGCAAAGCGAAATTTAGTTAGCATTAATGAAATAAAAGTTAAGATTTATTTAAAGAAAAAACTAGCACTGAATATAGCAATAATCAAACTGCTGTTGTGGCTTTTGGGCTCCACACGCGCTAGCAGTTGCGCTTGCCTAACAAATTCCGAATTGCAGTTGCAGTCCACACGCCCGTAAAAATGCTGAAGCGTTCCTTATCAGCCATTCATCGTTCGGTGTGCCCGCAGACTACTCAATTTATTTATTTTTTTTTTATATATTTTATTACATATTTTTAGGTTTAACTCTTTGATAATTTTTTAATTTTTTTAAGTGAAACATTTTGTGAGAAAAACATTCGCGTGTACCCCAACCTGCGTACTACCACCGCACATACCCATCCCGGCGCTACTAACCAGTGAAGGAAGACCTACGGCATTTGCTTGATTAAGCCGTAAAACCGCCGAACCGCTGCTTAATTGATTCATCAAGTGCGATCTACGACTTTTAAACTTTAATCTGCTTGCTTTTTTATTCACTCTACCGCCCCCTTCATTGCCAATACCTATCTGCCACATTTGCCTACCTTCGCCTGACAAACGTCTAAGCAACGCATTTTTACTTGGTCTTGGTTGTTTCCCTGCGCGCGACCTTTAGTGACCTTCAGCGTTTTGCCGCCTGCATGGCGAGGCGCAAAATACCACAATCCCCTCTTTAATACTCTCCGCGCCATTGAGCGATGGCACTCGCTCTTTTAGGCTACTTACTCTACAACGTAGAGTCTACATACTCGTGCACTAGCGCCAATTATTTTACTATTTTTCTTTTCTAATTTTATATATTTTTCTAAACTTTTTTTTTTTTTATTTAGCGTTTTGTGAGCGTGCAATCAACAGCCGCTGACTGCTACTACATATGTGCATACATACACACACACAGGTATTCTTTTTGTGCGCTCAAGCGTTTTTATTTTTTGCAAAGTTCCTCAGTACGTTTAGACGTCATTGACATGATTTATATTTATGTTTTTGCAAATTTTTCTCTGTGCATTAGTGCAAACGTACACACGAACGCACACATAAGCAGATGCGTTCGCAACTCTCTGTCGCCATACTATTTTTAAATTCAAAATTTTATTAATAACAACTCGGCTGTTAAGGCGAAATTGTACGCATCCATTTTCGAGACTTTTCCCTGTGACGCCCTTCTGGCTTCACCCAAAAGAAGTGAGTTTTTGACAGCCATCTGCCTGCTAGTGGGGTCAAATGTCAAAAGTGACATTTACCACACGTTTATTAGCTCTCTTTGTGTTTTCGTGTGCTCTTTTAAGCGCTGATTTTTCGATTTCTTGCATTCTCTCTTTGCCATGCGGCGTCTCCATGCGGTTGCATATCACATTTCATATTTTTTTCAATATTTTCCGCCCAATGACTATACATTAGGGTGGGCCAAACAAATTAAAGGGGGAATTTTGGTGCTCTCACCCCAGGATTGTTCTGTATCGAAAATAATAAAAAAACCATGTCGATCAAAGCGTTCAATCAGCAAACTCGGATTCTCCTAAGGAGACCAGAAAAATAATACTATCCAATTGTTTGTTTAACCATTTTTTAATATTTATAATTTTTTATTGGTCCCCCAAAAACTAAAAAAAAAAAAATAAAAAATGGTCTTCTGAAGAAAAACGGGGTTTGATGATTTAAAAAAAAATTAAATTAAATAAAAAACTATTATTATTATCATGATATTTTTTCGATATACACTGGCGATCAAAAGTGAGTGCATTGTGTTTTTTCTTAAATATTTGCATAGCTTTTCAAGCTACATTTTTTTAGTTATTTTTTTATAAAATAAATAAATTTAATTAAAACCACATAAGCCAAACTTTCAAACTTTATACAGAACTTAAAAAAATTCAACAATCGACTTAAATTTTTTCGCATGCATATCTGGACCACCCTATTATACATATGTACGCGCTTATTTGATTAATCTGCTGTTTTTTGTTTAAAATAAGCATTCCGGCAGCAAAATAAATGCGTTTGTAATCAAATGCCGGCAATATGTATAAATTCGAAGGTTTTTAGAGTCTACATACATACAAATATAGGTATGCACATATTTTTCACTGATAAGCTGGCACTCATTGCGGCGTTGGATGGGTTGGGCGGGCATTTTACTCATTTTACTGTATGCATTTTTTTTGGTAATCAGTTCTGATGCCAAACATGGTTTTATTCAGGCACCGAAAATAACAGATTTTTTTAACAGTTAAACTTGGCCAAATATTTTTTAAGGCCGAAACAAAAGTCCTTTCCTAATAAGCAACAGACCGCTTATCCAAGTTTGGTATCATATGGACCGATATGGCCTTTCTAAGAAATATTGGTGGCAATTGGATTGTTACTACAGGTAGGATTTTGTAGGGAAATGCCAGTCCAGGCACTACTAAAAAGTATCCCAGTTACGGAAATCTTCCCCACACCTAAAAGGGAAGCTGTTGCTCTGGAGCCAGTCCAGGCATTAAGAAGGCTGGCGCTGTCAACGTAAACTTACTAGAGCAAATCTGCCTAGCACCTGAACTTGTCCAGATTCTATTGGATGAGAACATGGATAAGAAAATCTATTAAGCGCCGGAACAGATTATCTGTAGACGGGATTCACATGCCAGAATCTGTTTTGGCACTGTCGAGAAAACATCTGTTACGGAAATCTAGCCAGGCTCCAAACGGAATAAGGGATTTATCCAGAGAAATTCCCGCTAGGAAGTTCTGCTAAAAGTTTTATATGAAACCTCCCAGGAATTTTATATTCCTAGGGCGAAAGCCAAGGCTTGTGTGTAGAATTTGTAGATATTAAATAATGTGAAATTAAAGCCCAGTTAAAGGCCCCCTCGATAAAAAACCCTATCAATTTATGGAAAAGTAAACTAACAAACAACAAATTGACAGATCTAGCCCGCAAATATTTGAGCGCTCCACCCGCCACCGTTTCGAGTGAGCTATTGATCTTGAACGAAAAGGTGACAAAACTACTTTTTATGATATATACCTGGTAAGGTGTTTACGTAGTTTTTTTCATTTGCTTTATTCGGGAAGTTAATGTTGTATTTTCTGAGTTTTGAAGTAGATATTTGTCACCGATTTTTATTCAGCGAAAATTATTTCATAAGTATGCTAAAAATAAAATTTCGAAATCATCAGAAAGGTATTTCAATAAATTCACAGCAAAATCACCTGCTGTTCAGTTGTGCTCCGAATTTTCCAAAGCTGCTAGTTTAACGGTTTTCGCTAACGATGCGCTTGGCTAGTGGCATTAAGAAGGCTTTTTTGCTTTCTTTGCAACTAAATTTAGCAGAGAAAAAATATTACTGAGCATATTCAGCTGTTGTTCTTGTATTGTATATATAAATAAGTGTCTAAAAAATATACACATTTTATATTTTCATCTTCTTACTCAGTATTTATACTGTAAAAACAAGAAAACAAAATCTTCGAGAGATTTATTTTACTTTATAGCAAATCTTTCTTGTTGATCCCGACAAAAAGTGTGATGTGCAGCAATGTTTTTCTTGGCTAAATTATGGCAAAGAAAATTAGCTTCTTTTATTTCTAATTTATTTATTTCAGAGTATATTTGAAATACGCCCACTGTCAACGTAAATTCACGCAGCACATGAACATGAATATTCTCATGCCGAGGTGGCGATGCAAACGTGTATGTGAAATTTATAATCCATTTCGCTTGTAAAAATTCCGACACGTTGGCGCAGATGTTCGCTAAAGTTTTGAAAATTTGTTGATCTCCTTTCGAATTTTGAAACTTATAATTCTTTCAGAGACACATGAAAAAATATTGTATCCAACACGTAAATTTTTTTTTTTGCAGCTCGCTCAAAAACGTAATCGGTTAATTGCTTTAACTTCCACTACTCCGCATAAGAGAATATCAGGTATATAGAATCGATTTAAAAGTTTCAGATTTTATAGAAACTCTGCATATCGAGTTGCTGTAGAAGCATTTCTGCGTCAATAAGAAAATTTAAGTCGTTCACGTTTTTTAGCAGTTAGTTTTGGATTTTTTTGTCAAATCTTATATAAGGGTTGTATTTTAGATGCTTCTCATTTAAAAAAGTTATTTGGTTGAGTACAGCTTTGGTAAACTTTTTTCTTCTTAAGCATTCGCTTAAGTGAGCATTTGACTAAGGATCCTAATTTTTATAGTGCTGTCCTCAGCCACTTAAATTCCTTTTGCTTAATTGAACAGTGAATAAAATTCTAAAAGTTTCTCACTTTAGCTAATTTCATACAAAAAACACTTTTCAGGAGAATCCGCTTAATTGATTGAACCGCTTATGTGACTCCTTATTATAAGACTGTATAGTGCTATTGAAATTTTATACCAATAAGGCCATCCGTTTAATTGCGCATCGACTTGAAATACAAAATTTTGCCAGCACAAATTTTTTTTTTGCGAAATCTTCTACAAAATGTGTTTTTTTTGTTTTGTTTTGATCTACCGCTTATGGGTCTAACTCACTTAAGTGGTTCTAGTTTAGGTATCCTTTATGCCACAAAAATTAATTGCTTCTTTTACAACTATATTATTCAATGGCCTTACTACAGTATCCTCCGCTTAATTGGCTATGAGAAATCGTACAGAATTTTATCTATTTATCTGTGGTATCAATTAGCCGATGTTCACTTAATTGCACAGTAATTTTAATCAACTGGGTTATTGGTTTAAGAGGGAGGGGAAACCAGCTAAGC